TTTTTTTTTGTAGTTTAAGTTTTTGAGATTTCAGCCAAACTTCTTGGACTTCCAAAATTGGGCTAAGGAAACAATATTTTTTTATCTGGCGTGTCCCTCCCGTGTCCAAAACGTGTCCCCACGTGTCTAAAATTAAAATAAAAAATTTAATATTCGAATACTTTAAATTGCGTGTCGGACACGTGTCCGGAGCGTGTCCGGACGTATCCGTGTCCGACACGTGTCCGACACAGACACTCCTCCTTTTTTGCCGTGTCCGTGTTTTATAGACTCTTCCAAATGACACACAGTGCTTAGATTATAACTATAAAACGAAGCATATAGTTTGCAACCAAGTAAGAGCTACAAAGGTGAGGTTAACCAAAAAATGCCCAAAAGATTTTCTCATCATGTTGAAGATGTATCTATTTCTTTCTAGCCGAAGCTTTCAAAAGAAAGCTCTTATAAACTGCAACCATAAGATTTTCTCTCTAGTGAGTGAAATGTGAATGCCCCCAAAAGGTGATCATAAGGAAGTTGGTGTTGATACTAATAGGGAGGGAGGATGTGGTTCTAGAATTGAATAGCAAAAGCAAGAGGAAATGGTTCTAGAACTGATCACAATTAGAGATTTGTTATCCTTTGTTCGCATGAACCACCAACCCAGGGAAAGAATCCACCCTTTTCCTATTCCTTTTATCTGCCTTTTTTTTTTTGTAATTCAAGCCAATTAGGGTAGTTTTCTGCAAGCAGGTCTTTTGAGTGGATTAATGTCTCATCTCCTCCCATCATTTGCGTGCATTTTTTTATTAGTATAGTCTTTGTTTAAAAGAAAGAAAGTAACAGTGGAACATGAGTAGAGAAAATAGGAGAAGAAGCAGTATGTAATACTGCAATTATAGGAGAATTATGGTAGAGAGAGAGAGTCAAAATTACTTGCTGAACGTTTCCTTAAAGTAAATTCAGACGCACAAGTATTTAGCATCCCCCTGTTGAAACAGCAGATCTTGTAAGGATATGATTTGAGGCATTGATGAATACTCTACCAGAGGATTGAAGGAAACTGATAGAAGATGGTAGAATTAAGGTACATGTGGCGATAAAGATTCCACGCAAGTAACAGATTTTATTGATAGAATCAAATGTTTCTTTAATACAATTACATATTTACGTGAAGGTATTGCGGTGTATGTGGAACTAGTAACAGGACAGCTGAGCAGAGAGTGAAAAATATCGAACTCAATAAAAATATGAAACACACCAAACCATTGGGCGGGTTAGTCAAGGGTCAGCAAGTGTTGGATTATGAGCTCCCTCTATGTTATTCTTCTACTCTTTGAAGTTTGTGGTACATCAAATCATTTTAGAATTTCTTCAGGAAGTTAACTTGCTTTGATAGCTTCATGCACCAACAGTTAGTAGAAAGAAGCATGCATCTTATATTCTCTTGATGTATTAAAATTGAAAGAATTGAAATTTAATCCTTTACATTGTTCTTATCTTTGAGTTTATACTTGTACAAAATTCAGTGTGAGAAATTTTGTTCAAATATTTTGTGCACTTCTTTAGTAGACATCTCTAACCTTTGTGCGGCTTATTTCAGAGATCATCGGTAGAGAAATAAGTTACACAGTTACTGCTGAGGTATGCCTTTTAAATAATAAAAATTTTCCCGATGCTTGTTCTATTTGTAGGTCTATGACATCTTCCCCTCTGCTACTACGCATGTCATAGGCGATCTCTTTGAACTTAAGCAAATGATCTGTTAACATACTCTGAAAATTTCTGCTACACATGTGATATTTGCTAGAGGATCGTCTCTAGATGTACCCATCTCAATTATGGGTTCAGCTAAGGAATCCGTAAATGTTCACTAGGCTAGGCCAAATCGATAACCCCAACCTGAACAGGAAAATTCATATTGGGGCGTAAAAAAAAGACCTTGACTTCAACCCCCACCTCATATCTGTAAATTTTTTCTTTTATTTTTTTTTTGGGGGGGGGGGGTGGATTTAATAAAAATTGTGCGAGGAGGTAGGTTTGGGGGAGTAGATGGATATTGTCGAAACCCAAGACTCTAGCCTTGGAAAACCACGGAGCCAAACATCCCTTTTATTGTATGCAAGTTTCAATGATCTAAGCTTTGATATGCCTCCCTTCTATTTGATTGTTAGACATCCAAGAAATCTCATAATCTGGAAATCCTTGTGTAATAATTTGCAGGAAATTAGAAAGCAGTTGGGGATTTCATTAATTGATGAAGAGAAAGTGCAGCTATCAAAGGTAATTGGGAGAAAGAAGTCTATGATATGATATTTTGCCTCTTGAGATGTGTAAGGATCCACTAATATCAGGCTGTGTCATGCTTTAACAGGAAAGGAGGAGATGTGAAAAATGTGGGAATGATGAAGCTTGGTTTGAGAGCAGACAGGTACTTTATAGGCATAAAAAGACTCTAATGCCTGCCCTTTAGTCTTTCTTTCTGTCTCCCATTAAATAGAGTACTGAGTGCGAGTGTGGTTTCAATTTCTGCAGATGAGATCGGCTGATGAAGGGCAGACCACCTTTTATACCTGCACCAAGTGCCATCATCAGACCAGAGAGAATTGATCCTTCTATGTTTTATGATAATCATCATCTATGAAATGATTAGGATAGCTCCGATGTAGTCTCGTCTTTTAAGTACGACAAATATAGGTTACGGAGATTTGAAAGTCCAACCTCAAAGGGAAGGAGTACATGTCATTTTTGTGTTAGCATTCTAATGTCTCAAACATTAATTTGATCAATTATGCTCTTAAGTAAACATCATTATACTGTCAACCCACCATTACTACTTTAATATTAGAAAGTTGTGGAGTTCATTCTTTAAATGTCTTGTTATATCCAAAAGGGCATTGTTACAACTCTATAAATGATAAAATGTAAGGCTAAGTTTTTTATTGTACTTTAAAATCATCATTGCCATTACTTAAAAAATAACATTCCCTAAACTTTAAATTTTATACGTTACTTTCTATATTTTCCAATGTTTATGAACTTTATTCAATTTTATATCTAAACATTTCAATTTTATATTTAACAAGTTCGTACAAAATTGATGTTTTTAAAATTCCATTAGAAGCAATTGGAGGATATAATTGAAGTTCCTCCTGTCATGATCTTACCTATACATAAGATCTAAGATTGAGAACTAGAGCTGCTCTTGGACGCTCTACTAGCACTCTACTAATAGTTCTCGAGAATCTCTCCTTAGCTTAGCTTATGTTAACCGACCAAACCCGCTTCCGTAAGTAAATTGAGAGGAAAAATAAGGAAGGAATCATGTTCTTTGTTGATTTGTCTTGCTTGACCTTCAAAATCTAATCACAATTCACACACTAAAAAAACA